TAACGCTTCTCATTGCTATAAATGGCCAACTCTTATCTCATTCTGCTTCATGGTGATTGATATTGTGAAACTGGAAGTGTAAAGTGTTTTTTCCTGTTTTTTTTTTTTACTTTTCAAACTGGTATTCCTTTTCTCTAACGTAATCTACTCGTTTCGTATCATCAAGAACCGCTTGCTCCCACCGTTTGAAGAAATTGTAATAGGAATGGAAACCTAATGTAGTTTTTAATCTCACTAGGAAATTATAGCGGTCAAATTTCAATCACATTTCTTAACGTCATTCATCCGTAACCAAAAAGGAGATATTCTTTTTCTTTAGGTTCCATTTCCATGCCTTTAATGAAAGATTTTGGACCAATATTTGTATTTCTTCCATAGCCTGTCTATTCTAATCACCGCCTTAATAGCGTATAGCAGTATGAACGTAAATTCCAAGGCAGCACTTTTCATCGCAGTGACAGATCAGCGCCGCATCATCGCACAAATGACTGACAAATCGACGCGCATTCGTTGATGACAATATCAGATAGAAAGCCGTTATGGCAAATTGACTAACACTCTATTGCCTGATTCCAGTCGCATGGAACTGCTTCTGCTTCATCGTCTTCATCGTCGTTCCACACATCATCACTCCTCACCCCTAGTCATACAGACTCCCCACCTAGTCGAATAAGTGTACATTCAAGTGGAAGTGGTGGCAGGTTAGCTAGTTAATTGAGTTTTTGACTCCTGCGGAAAGTGCAACGAAACCTTCATCATCATGAATATTTAGTGGATCATCCTCACTCGCTTCATCATCGGTTGACGCACTTGACGAGTCGTTTTACTCATCAACATCGGAAGCGCCAGTCAATGTCACACAAATGGTGGCGAAAGGCGTGCCCGAAGCTGAAATTCTAGCCATCTGGTTGGATAAGATTGGCATGGCGGAATATCTGGCGCTATTTCTCACACAAGGATACGATTTGTCCTCAATAGGTGTGTACGATTCAATGATAATTCAAAAATGCTAAAGAAGATTTCTGTGGTAGTAAC